CACCGCTCTAAAGACAATAAAAAGACATAAATTGTGTGGCATGTGCATGTGTGTATGTACTTATGTAAGACCCTCAGAATGAGGAGTCTTCCAGGTTCGGTCGATACCCCAAGAACTCAATGTCCAGTCCAGTTGCTGCAAAACGCAAGAGGCTTTAATGAACAGGAAACGTTTGCGCAAACGGGCTCCTCCAGCACGCAGGCTAGGGAGAAGCCCCCTCCCCTGGGCCCAGGTGTTTTTAAAGGCAAACCCACAAGCTTAGGGAGGGGGTGGGACCCTTGGAGGCCGGATGGTCTCACTATTAGGGTCAGCAGACTTAGGGCTTCAGGTGTGCTAATTAATCTTGTCTGAGCAAACCAGAGTTACAGCTATCTCTTGACCCTATTTACCACCTGTTGACTCACAGGAAAGGAGGGGCAGTGTGAATTCTTCTTATCTCAGGGCCTTGTGAGAGGAAGCTAGCAAATTCCAAGGAACGGATATTGGTTTCCAGGTTAGTCCATCATTAACATTACTTTTTAGGTCTTTCGTTTACACGTGTGTGTGATGAGTGTACAGGTGGTGCATGTAGGAGAGTTCACAGGCCTGTGTTGTGTATGTGGAAACCAGAGATCAAATGGTCATCTGCCTTGCTGTGTTTTTTTAAGTGTGTGTGCAAGTGTGTGTATGTGTGTGGGGGGATGTGTCTGTGTATGTGCTATGTGTCTGTGTGTGGTGTCTGTGTGGTATATGTGCCTGTGCCTGTGTGTAGGTGTATGTGTCTGTGTGTGTCTGTATGTTGTGTGTGTGTGTGCGCCTGTGTTCAGGGGTGTGTCTGTGTTCAGGTGTGTGTGTGTGTGTGTGTGTGTGTGTGTGTGTAAAGATCAGAGATGATCAATGAAAGAAGTCTTCCTCAATCACTCTCCACCTTACTTTTTGCTTATTTGTTTGTCTTTGAGACAGGGTTTCTCTGCATGTCTCTGGCTGTCCTAGAGCTCGCTCTGTAGACCAGGCTGGCCTGGAATTTACAAATCCACCTGCTTCTGCCTCCTGAGTGCTGGGATTAAAGGCATGTGCCACCATGCCTGGCTGCTACCTTACTTGTTTTGAGACAGGGATTTGAACTGATCCTGGCGCCCTCAGACTAGGCTAGGCCAGCCAGCTTCCAAGGATCTACCCACCTGCCTCCCCAGCCCTGGGATTGCTGGCACACACTGCTGTGCCTGGCCTTTTATATGGGTGCTAGGGACTGCACTCAGCAAGCACTTGCCAACTGAGCCACCTCATCAGCCCCCACCTTTTAGAATGATCTTCGATTAGGAGAGGTGGCCCTCTGCCTCCCCAGCTCTGGGATTACATGTGAGCCACCACAGCCTGGCTTTTTGACATGGGTGCTAAGACTCTGGTCAGGTCTTCATGCATGTACAGCAAGCACTTTACTATCTTCACAGTTCCCTTCATCCCATTTTATAGACAGTGAAACTGAGGTTCTGGTGACTTGATTTACCAAAGCACCTGGCTTGTTTTCGGTAGACAAGGATCCTATCCCAGGTCTGTGAATCTCTGGACCTAGATTCCTGGGTGTCAACATCCTGTTCCCAGCCTGTTCCTATACCTGGCACCTACTGTCTTCACTGTGTCTGGCCCACAGCTGGGAATGGCCCCGGGCTGGGCTCCTTCTTCCGGGTTCCTCTGTCTTTAGCCTGAAGGATATAGTAGTGTTTGTTGGAGGATTAAATCTTGTTGAAAGTAGACAGTCCCAGTCTTTACTCAATATCCCTTCCTGTGTGCTGTGTCTCCAAACAACCTGCAAAGCCAGCATCAGGGGAAGGAACCAGCTTGGGACTGATCTGTCCTTCGGTCTTCTTCCAGAGGAAGCCCCTCCCAAGGCCTGCCTAGGCACCACCCCAACATCTCCTTCATCATAGGAGGTCAAGTCTTTGTCCCTACTCAGATAAACAAACAAAGAGGCTGAGATGTGTGTAAAGCAGAAGGTCGAAGAGCCATGCTCCACCCGCAGATAGGCCTGGCCTTCCTCCCTGGGTCAGCAGCAGAAGCCCCAGACAGTGAGGTCAGTTAGACAAGAAGGACAAGTTCAGTCCTGTCTACGAACGGAAGCACCTACAGGTGACAGCGATGGTCTCCATACAGATGTCCCCTGACATCTCATGACCGCCCAGCCTCCTCAGTCCATGCTCACATGGACCTCTTCCACGACTCGGGGCCTTGGAGACCCTCTTCCCCCCACCCCCAGTCAGATCAGAGCCACAGGAAGCAGGGCTTGCAAGTGTGCAAAGTTAGAGCCAAGATGGGGAAGTTTATTCTCCAAGAATCATCTAAACACATGGGTGAGTATTTTTAGCCCACAGCTCCTACCGGGATGCCAAACCTAAACACAGGGAAGGAGAGGTGGCCCCTTGGGAATACAGGCAGCCTCTGGAAATAGGGAGGGAAAGGCTACAGCAGACCCCACCCTGTCCGTCAGAGTGGCCTGTCTTCCTGGATGGCTCTGATGAGGAAAATTGACTACAGGAGCTTAAGGAGGTACAGAGTGACCCTAGGCTGTGACCCCAGGGTCTGATAGGTTTCTTGACCCTGTCATACTACAGCTCCCTCATCCATGCAGTGGAAGTAGTCCTCTTCACAAAAACGGTAGAGAGACCCATGGTCAGCACATAGTAGGTATTCAGTAAGTGTGCTTCATAGTCTGCGGGGGGGGGGGGGGGTCAGAGAAGTCTGGCTATGGCCTTTGCATTTTCCCCAGGCTTGGCGTCTGCAGGGAAGCGCGCGTGTGCAAATGGCTATGAGTGTGCACACCCAATGCAGTCACCTAAGGAGATGAATGAGAGAGAAGGGAAAAAAGGCTGGTGACAGCCAGGATAGGCCTCCCGTGTACCTAAGGAGCCGTTGGCAGGGCCCATGTCCTTGGAGAGAACTGCTCCGCGAGCCAGGCAGGCTGGATACAAGCCATTAGACCACCTACTCCAGATGGAGGTCAACACAGAGCCAGTAAATTCACTCCGAAGAGGACGCTCTTCAGGGACAGGCACCTGCTTATGTGGGGCTGAGGCCAGGGGAGCGCTGGTGGTGATCGGGCACTGAGTGGCTGTGCTTCCAGAACACACAGAGATGGTCTAAGTCCCCACCTACTCTGACTTCCACTAGCCAGATAGGCTTATTATGGGGCCAGCCAGGCAGGAGAAGGGCCTGTGACTTCCACCTGGGGTGGAAAAGTCAGACCTCCTCTGCTCACTTGCAGAGAACTAGCTCTTCAGGTCCTGCGGCTACATTATACTCTGAAGGCCACGTGGAGGACAGGTGAGTGGAGAGGGAGGAGAGGGGTGTGAGGGAGAGGAAGGGAGTAGAAGGGGGGAGGTTGTCCAGAGCAGGAATGGCTGTTCTGACCTCATAGCCCAGAGCCTGGGAAGGAGGCAGTGGAGATCCCACTCAGGCTTCCTGGGAACTAAAGAAAACCCTTGGTCCACATACCCTGCACCCCCACTGGCACAGGCTGCCTGTTGTTGCCATGACTACAGAATACCTCCACCACCACACAATCCTAGCTGTGTGGTCATGGGTGAAGCAGAAGTAAGGTATTATTATTATTGGCCACAAATGGAAAAGGGAGAGAAGAGGGTAGTTGGGGGCGGGGCTAGCCATTCATCTTACCCCAGGTTTAGCTGATGGGGGTACTGGGATCATTACCCCCTGAACCTGACACTCTCCCAGGGCTACCAGCAGCAGGGCCTTCTAGATCTCATGGACCCCAGTGGTTTGTACCTTCCAATGGGGACACACACCTGGCTCTGACCTGGTTCCAGCTCCCCTATTTGCTCAAGGCCTGTGACCTCATCCTCACTTCACAAAGCTCAAAACTCCAGCACTGCCATGGATGGTGTGTACCATCTTCTTTTTTCTCTGTCTCTCCACACACACACCCTCTCCCTGCTGTCCCTCCTTGGGGGAAACCCACTAGAGACGTAGTGGTGGACGCCTGGCTCTTTCTGTCACATCTATTGCTGACCCATGAGCAGATCCTGCTCAGGACATGAGCCTGGGGACCTGGGAACCACCGGTTCTGTCTTGTCCTTCCTTACCTCTGCAACCCTATGCCACAGAAGAGCTACATCCTGGTCCTGGGCAAGAGCCCACCGTGGTCCAGGATCTACAATACCCAAACTGTCTACCCCATCCCTCTGGCTGCGTCTCTGTACTTCCTCCCTCCTCCTCTTCCTCCCTGCTGCTTCCTGCTGGGCACCCTGCCTGACCTCCTGCCTGAGTGAGCGCTGTTGAACGCTGATGGGCTCTTTCCCTTGCAGATGCCCCTGGCCCTGACCACCCACGGGAACTGCAGCTGCCCTTCCCGGTTTCTGTCACTGCCCTCTGACTTTTGTCCGCCTGGACTAAGAATCCCCAGGCATCTCATTGCTTTGTCCCTGTCACCTGCCCAGTCATCTGCCAAGCTCAAGGGACACTTGAGCAAATGAAAGAACCCTGCTCCCCAATCACATGCAGCTCCACGCTCCACCTGGGGGGCGGACACCCAGCATCTCCACGCTAGCCCCAATAAGTAGCCTTCATCTAGCCTGTTCTTAGACCCGCGTCCCCCACTGTAAAAGGAAGATCCTGGTCAGAAGTTCTCTGGCTTCTTTCATGTCAGTGCTCCAAGTACTCCCACCTTTCCGAGGTTGGGGCGTGAGGGAATGTGTGTTGACAGGGCACGCGCATACACTGGCAGGGTCAGACCTGTTTTAGGAGAAATCTCCAGGCCTGAAGGTCCCTGCCCTGTGAGGAGTGGGTGACTAGAACACGGTGATTCTACAGAGTTAAAAACAATAAAAAAAATACTTGCAAAGGGTTTCTCCAAAAATATATCTGTACTTTATTTTGTTTAATTGTGGGGAAGGGGTGGAGGTCAGGGTCTCCCTTTGTAACTCTGGATGGTCTAGAACTCTCTATGGAGAGCAAGCTGGCCTCAATCTTAGAAATCCACATGTCTCGGCCCCCTCCGGTGCTGGGTGGGGTTAAAGGTGTACACCTCCACAGCCAGCTACTCGTATTTTAACAGTCCCCAAAGTCCAACCTGCAAAGAAAGCGAAGCCATGTCCTCTATAGGTCAGAGGTCACATATCCAGAAGTAGTCCGTCATTGGAGGAAGCTGGTCACCAAACATGTGAGTGTAGGGACCAACAGGGTAGTCAGGGGTAAAGACAGCAGCTGTCCCGGGGCATGGGACTTGAACACCTGGCGGTTTCCCAGCTGTTGCAGGGGTCTCACGTTGTCTTTCATAGTCAGTTTCTTCTCTTCGTCATAGTACAGCTCCTTGGAGAATTTCAGGAACTGTGAAAGAGACCGGGCTCAGCAGGTGCACAGGCTGGGGCCATGCTCCAGACACCTCACCCCTCAGAGCCACAGCAGAAAGAGGGGCTCAGGGTGGCCACATGAGCATGGAATGCGGCATGTGTGGGGAGCTGAGTGCCACCGTACCTTCTCAGGCTGTTACGGTCACTGTTGCTGTGGTACAGTGGCTCTTGGAGGTGAACATCCTTCAGCACCAGCTAAAGGAGCTCAGGGACCCAGATGCCTGGACCCCCAGCCCCAGAATACGATTCAATAGATATGGAGCGAATCTAAGAATGGACATTTCTAGAAAACTGTCTCTGGAAAAGACGTTGACATTACACTTTGAGAATCACTGCTGTAATAAGCCCCAAGGGATTTTGGTCCTTTGGGCTTCCTGCTGTCTTTCCAGAGGCTATTGTAGACTCAAGTGCTGTTTGTTGAATGCACTAAGGAAGTGCACTAAGGAAATCCAACCTGAGCTCTCCCCAAAATACTGGCTCCCCACACTAGCCAGTCAACTCCCCCACTTTTCTGGAAGCCTATACTAAGCACCCTTCCATGACTTCTCACAAGGCTCTCTATTCAGAAAAGCTGCAGACAACTTTCCTTCATGCCTGTCTCTGCCAGTGGAAACCAAGGACTGATGATTCTCCCCACCCCAGAGACCCGTGGGGCAAGCAGGGAGGGCTCCATATGGAGGCAGCACCTTGCTCTAGGCCCGAGTACCTGGTCTTTGTGGAGCTTAATGGGTTCCTTGAACACCGTCCAGATGACCGTCTCGTCACAGTCCGGGGTGGTCAGTGAGCCCGGGTAACGGAAATAGTGAACCAGTTCCTCCTTCTTAGGAAGCATGTCCTGCAGACAGCTCTCCCTCATTGTGGCGTTTGTATCTAGGAGACAAAGTCCCTTACATATGGCACTCTAGAAAGCTGCTACCCCAGTACCTTTGCCTCTTCCATTGTGGAGAAGAAGCCATCTCCTCTGTAGTCCTGACTCACTGGGTTTGGAGATATGGGACAGCGCCTCCACGAGGGGCTGGAAGCCCGGGTTCATCTCGTCTCCCACCTAGAATGGAAAGGAAGGAAGCTAAAGAGAGCCCCTGGGCAGCCGCTGGTGACAAGCAGTGCTTTCTGAGAGATAAACAACCTCGGGATTGAGGGATGGGAGTCCCACCTCGACCATGAATGCCAGCACCGAAATCTTGTCCTTGGAATCCTTCTCTTTATTGCTCGATGCCCCCTTCTCATGTACGATGTGCATCTAGGAGGGGGTGTGTAGAAGGGCAATTTACAGGGAACTGGATCACCCATCCTGCCCAAGGTGGGTACACACCCAGGACCCAGCCCAGGCACCAGCTGGAAGGCTCCTCACCTCCATGGCAAAGTGTTTCCCGTCAATGCTGTGTTCTGAGCCCCTGTCAGACTCCTGCGACCAGTGCAGATGCAGCTGTACAGCCTGGTACTGTGTAGGCAGGTCTCCTCCAGCAATGAAGCTTCCATTCCCCAGCATCATTTTCACTGGGGGGGGGGGTGTACCAAAGTGGGCAGAGTCCTCATGCTGGCCTCTCAGTCCCCACCCCAGCTCCCATCACCTCCCACCTAACTGTTTGAGACGTAGACCCTGAGGGAACACAGCCTTCACTCTTCCTGGCTGCCTTACCGCCTTATCCTATAATGTAGCCCTGCCCCGGACCTGCTTCTGTTTTGACTCTCTCCATGGTGCCCTGATGTCCCCAGGATGGCATCCAAACTTCTCAGCCCTGGTGACCTCTTCTGGGCCTTGGTCATCTCCTCCTAGTTATCCTCTATGGCCTTTCCAAACACAGCTGCTCCCACTCAGTTCCCCACCAAAATGCCTAAGCATTTCACACTCCTGTGCTTTCACAAAGGTCGAATGTTCCCTCCCTGCACCCCACTGTTCTGATGAAATGACTGAAAACACAACTAATACCTCCTCCTCTCTAGACCACCCACCTCCAGGCCTGAGTGACTCACCATCCCTGCACAGTTAGCCCTGCCCACCCAGCCCACCCAAGACCCACCTGAGTGTCCATCGTTCTTGACAACCCACTTCTTCTTTTGGTCATAGCCAATGAAAGTGAAGGGTTTCAGGTTGGGGTTCACCTTGGCCTCTGTGGTGGCAATGTTGATGGGGGATTGGTGGGTCTTCTTACAGTCCCCAGTCCAGTCAGCAGGTCCTGGGCAGGAAAGAAAGATCTAAGAATCAAGGGCACATTGACCCAGTGACATGAGTCAAGGTCTTAGATTGCTGGTGAGGTCCTGTGGCAGGGCATGAGTCTTGAAACTCTGCCCTAATGTTCCTCTTCCTCCTCCAACATGCTGGCATAGGCAAGCAAGTGGGTCTCTCTCTGATGGGGCTGAGGGTTGAGGGGTTGGGGAAGGGATGGAGAGAGAAGCAGCCTTGTCACTGATGGCTAAGAGCTATGGGATTGGAGTAACCTTAGGATACTGAGCTCAGGCTTTCTCAGGGAGAACCTGAACCCCTAAAGCATTTCCGAATGGGCTGGGTGGTGGTTGTGCATTCAGCACTTGGGAGACAGAGGCAGGTGGATCTCTGTGAGTTCCAGAACAGATTCTAAAGCTAGGCAGGCAGACAAACCTTGTCTCAAAAAAAACCAAGAAAAAAAAAAAAGTGGCTGAGGGGGAGATGCCTTTTGAGTTTTGGAAATCGTGGAGGAGGACCCCTTGGATGAGCCGTGATGCAAATAACCTGGACCTGACAAGGCATTATCTAAGGAGTGGGGGAAGAAGAACCAGGCAGGCAACGCCAACACACAGCTAGGCAGGGGCAAGAAACTGGCAGTCCCTCAACACAGCAGGCTACATAGAGTGCCAAAGAGGCAATGGGGGCCGCGGCTCAGTGGTGAAATGCTTCCTCTCTTGTCTAGCATGTGCAAAACCCTGCACACCTCAGTACTCCAGCAACAAACTAGCAAGAGCTGTCTCTGACTTCCACCTCAAAGGGCTTGATCAGAGTCAAGCCTCCACTGTGTTGAACAAAAATAGCAAATGTGCTGCTAATTTAGTTTCCAGTGTCAACCTCAGTGACATCTCATTGTTTCCTAGTCACTGAGTGCTGGACATGTGTGCAAGTGCGCCTGTGTTGGAAGGAGCTGATGCGTGACTGGCAGTACTTACCCTGGCAGTGGCTGTTGGGTTCCTTGGCCTGGATCTCATAGCACCAGTGTGCGGCTGGAACAGAGAAAGGAAGAATGTGAACCCTGGATGTGGGTGTGAATTGCTTACACAGCCCTGTGGACCGGAGCCTGGGAAAAACTCTGGTGGGTTAGGATGGAAGGTTTCTGGAGTGTGGGACTCAAGTCCCCAGGGATGTAGATTTAATGATCAAAGGAATGGCTGTGTGGTGGCGCACACTTGTAATCCCAGCACTTGGGGGTAAGAGGCAAGCAACTCTCTTGAGTTCCAGGCTAGCTTGGTCTACAGAGTTAGTTCCAGGACAGCCAGGGCTACACAGAGAAACCCTGTCTGGAAAAACAAATAAGATAAAGTAAAACAACAGGAATGTCAGCAACACAAAATACTGATCTTCAGGGCCTCTCTAAGGCTTTGTCCCTGGGCCATTAACCTCTCTCCTGCATCCTGCCTGGACTCTAGGAGGAGGCTCATCTGAGAATGAAGGATTAGAACAACAGAGTGGGTTCCAGCCTTCCAGCCAGGCTGCCTTAGGGATCAGGGAGGAGGGTGCTGATCCAGACAACAGTGGATGGGCAACCCTTCCTTAATGCCCCTTTTGCTTTGTGAAAGGTCCACTCTGAAGACAGAAGAACCAGTAATATTGAAGAAAGCAGCATCACAAGTTTGCCATAGCAGTGCAATCTACTGACAAGGGGATCCACGCAAGGCACAGCACATCCAGGCATTCTGCCACAGGACAAAGAGACAGACGGACAGGCAGAGACCATGCCTTTCCACCAACAGGGTGAATGAAGCTTTGCATCCAAAGTTAGAATTCTGACTGAGCCACTTAGGAATCCTGTGTTTGAGGATGGTGCCTTACTCTCTTTAGTTTAGTCACTTGTTAAATGGACCTAACATGCCCACCCATGAGACTGTGGAGAGGATTTAGTGAGAGGTAGTGCAAACTCCTCCAGGCAGTTTATACTCAGTAAAGTTCAGACAACTCTGCCCCTCCTCCCTGGCCTCCTGTCAGTGAGCAGATGGCCAAAACTAAGCCAAGGCAGGAGAGGAAAAGACATGGAGTGAGTTGGAAAGAATTCATGGGTGAGGACATTCCTAAGAACAGGGCTGTGCCGGGCTCAGCTCTGAGTCCTGACACTGTGTCATCAGCCCCTTCCTTCTGGGAGCTTTTTGTCTTGTTTTGCTGTTCTTCCAGTGCTAGGAATCAAACCCAGGGCCTTGTACTTGCCAGGCAAGTGCTCTACCACTAAGCCATAGGCCCAATTATTTTGTTTTTAGAGCATCACCCTATAAAGCTCTGGCTCAGATTATAGTTGTGTACCCCAGACTATCTTCTTGCCTAAACTGCACCCCTACACCAGGATGGGGAGCCATCCCTGAAATGGAGATAGGGTAGGAAAGGAAGCAGAAAAATGAGGTTCTTTGTAGCCAGGAGGAGCAAGTTTCTGGGCTATTAGGAACTAGCCACCAAGGGCCCTTTGGATTTTCTAGTTTCAGAGTTCATTCCTACTGCCCAGCTGACATGGTCTTGTTTAGAGATGCAAGGTCTTCCACATGGTGGTTCTACTCTTGGAGTGGCTGCAATCAGGGAAGTATGTATGAGTCCACTCTGCAGAAGGCAGTGGCCACCCCCTTAGGTGGGCTGAGTGTGAAGCCGGAGTCTGTTCCCCTTCCTTCCAGGCCTGCTCTGCCCCTACCCCAAACTCAACTCACAGACCAGATGAAGGGCTGGCCAGTCACACTGAGAGGAGCTGTCTTCCTGAGTCATTGGTCCTCAGAGAACATGGAAGTAGAATAGGCTTCCACGAAGAAGAAATCAGTCGAGGGAGAGCAGCCAACGGCGCCTCCCCCTGCCCGCCCCTGCAGCCTTTGGGGCTCAAGGGGAAGCTATTCCTGGAGAAGGCTGGCTCTGGAGGGTAGGGCCCAGCGGGGAGCCCATCTGGGCATTTCTTGGGAATCTTCCCTTCCCTGGCTCTGGCCCCAGCTCCCGGGTTAGTGTGACCTCTGACCCACACTGTCTTAATCATAGTGACTTTTGACCTGCTTGGCTGAACACTCTTGTAACTATCCTCTTCAGGAGGTGGTGGCCAGAAAAACAATGTTGAGGAGGCAGAAGCCAGGGATCAGGTCTGCATTTTACAGGTGGCAGGACACCAATCACTCGGGCTCCCACACTTGTTCTGAGGGTTACCATTGCAGAGAATAAACTGCTCCCAGCTTCTGGCCATGCCCAAAATAAAGGATCTGGGAAGGATAGAGGCTCCCAGCTGTTTCCTACCTAATCTTGGGCCAGAGGTGAGGTCAGAGACAAAACATTGCCCCTCACTGAGCCACTGTTCTCAGGCTCTAGTCACAAGCTTCCCGTCTCCCTTTTACCTTTCTCCCTTTTTTACATTCCAATCCTAGTTCCCCCCTCCCCTCACCCCCCCACTTCTCTCCACTCCCACCCCTAAAGTAAAGCCTCCCCTAAGAAGTCTACTAAGTCTGTCCCATTAAAGCAGGACCAAGGCCCTAGACCCCTGTCTAGGCTGAGCAGCCCCCCCCCCTTTTAAGGCAGGATTTATCTTGCCTCCTGGTTCAGGGGCCTTTTAGAGAGGACTGAAGTCATTTTAATGGACCTTGCCCACCCCACCCTCACTGTGAGGGAAGGGGGAAGACCAGCTCAGCAGAACCTGAGTGTGTCCTGGGCAAAGTCTTAGCACCTCCTGGCTCGGGGTCTGGTACTCTGAAGGGGTGGAGTACCTCCCTCCTCCCCCTAAGGATTTTCCTGCACCACCTGGGCACTTTCCAATCCCTGCAGGAAGATGCTCGAAGGAGGGTGATCCTGGCACTAAAACGGGAAGCTTGTGTGAAGAGGTCAGCTGAGGTGGATTTCTGCCTACACGGCCCCAGGTCATCAGCTGTACCTCATGACCATCTTGTAGAGAGTACTTCTGCCCCAGAGCCCACAGGCACTGCCTACATTGTCATATGGATTATCCTTCAAACAGTACTCAGCAGCAGTTATTATACCTGCGTTGTAAACGACAAAACAGGTTATATGACTCACCCAAGGTGAACAGCTAGGAGGCACCCGTTAATTTAAAAAACATTTTCTTTTATACTAAGTCGTTTCAAATATCCAACCTAACCTTTTCTTCAATGAATTTCTGTCTCTCCCATTGTATTAGGGTGCTCTTTTTCCTCCACCTAGGAAGGAGCTTTGGAGTTGTAGGACGTCGTACATCCTCAGGGAGCATTCTCTTTCCCCCCTCTGCGGCCGAGAGCTGCCTCAAGCCCCGCTCCAATCCAAGGGCAGAGCACCTTACTCTGGAAGGGAAGTTTGGCCCGTTGGAGGGGAAAGCTTGCCTGCGGACTAGAGATGAAGTCTTTATAAAGAGTTATGGGGTAGTGGAGAAGGTGCCAGCCGCTAGAATCGCCTTTAGCTCCTTATCAAATATTAACACGCCTCTACCGCTACCTCCCACCTAGAAGAATAATTAAGAGCTCGGTCTCACCATTAATCTTTAAACGAAAATCACCTTGTCCGGAAAGACCGGCTTGGCCGGGGACTTGGGTCTTGCGATGCCCCCCGCCAGGCACCCAATCCAGCGCTGGGGGCTGGGGAGAAGGGAACTTGCAGCTCTGAGGCCAGGAACCCAAGATGGGGGAGAGAGGAACGCCAGAACCCCAAAACATCCAACCTGCTGCGCCTGTTCTGGGTGGGCAACATCTACCTGCTCAGAGTCCCTGCACGTGGCCACTGGCCACCCAGGGGCAGACCCAGGAGAACCAAGGTAAGGAAAGGAGAGTGCATCCCGGCGGGTTGGAGAAGCATCCTCACCACAGATCACACGCGCGTCTGCCACGCGCACAGCCCGCGGCCGCGCACATGCGGGCACACGTTCCCCCGAAGCCTCCGGCGGACACATGTGGGCACCCACGCTCACTCATAGCCAGGTTTGCCGCATCCTCACTGTTCCCTGCACCAACCATGCGCAACCGGAGTGCGCTGGCAAGGGGAGCGGGGCTGGGGGCGCAGAGGGTCACCCGAGGGTACCTGTGGTATAGCTGACTGCGTAAGCCAGCGCCAGCAGAGCACGAAGCAGCTGCATGGTGCTTGAGGACAAAGACGCTGCCTAGCGCTGGGTCAGGCACCGAAGAAGGGACCGCAGGCGTCGCGATCATGCCGGTTGAGGCTTTATAGCAGCGCCACGACCGGAGGGAGCCTCGACAGCAGGACGTGGGAGGCAACTCCTCCTCCTGGCGGAGCCTCCCCTTGCCTCGTCCAGTCTCAGGTCTGAAAGAATCCTCTCCCCGCCTCCCCTGCTACCTTAATCCGCGGTGACAAAACCCCTCACCTACCCCGCCTCGTCAGGGTTTGGAAGTGTAGTCTTCGAAGCCTTCCTCCGTCCCATTCCTGGTTACGATCCAGGACCAGAGATGGGCTGTCCTGAGGTACATGACCCACAGGGATGTCTTCCCAGATTCGTAGCTTTCATCAAGTTGTCATCAACCATTGTGCTGGGTCTCCTAGTGCCTCCTTGGAATGAACTTGATTTGGGGCAGGGTGGATGTAAAAGGCCTCGAGGAAACCCAGAGTTAGGAGGGTTGAAAGCTTTGCGGTGCTGTTTGTTGAAGCGATGCCCCGCAATTGGCTCTTTCGGGTAGCGGTAGCTATTTCTCGAGTCTCATCATATTCCTCTCAGGCTATTCCAAACTTGATTTTGGTTTTGGATTTTCTTTCTCGGTACTGAAGCCCCCTCCCGCGCGCGTGCGTGCGCGTTTCCCTTTCTTTCCCTATTTCTCATGCTAGGCAAGCCCTTTACCACTGAGCTACATCCAAACTGAATTCTAAGGAAACCATAATCCTTCTTCCAGCCTTGAACCAAACTCCCTAAACTTCTGTTCCTGGTGTTTTTTATGTTGAGCCAATGAGATGAGGAGGGGCGGAGAGTTGGAGGACAGGAAAGAGTATGTAATTAAAGGGGATGATGGGAAGGTGAAGAGTGGGGGGGGGGCAATAGAAAGTTGGTTTGTAAAGTGGCTTACTAGGAAACTCCATGGTGTCATAGGGGAAAGGACTGGTTGATATGGAGATCCCCTGACCTTGAAAAAGTCTAAATGTACCCCAAGTTCTCCCATCAGTTAAGAAGAGTCTGCAGCAAAGAGAGATTCCTTGAGGAAACTGTCTGTCTCCTATATCCAGAGAAATGGATCTGGCCTCGATGTCAAGCGCTTCTTGACATCATCTCTGCGGTGGTCCCCTACGGCTCATGGGAAATCGGTGCATCCGTGGTAGGTTAGGAAATCAGGCAGTCACCTGGACTCCTCCATCAACAGGAAGCCCCGTTTTCTGGTCCAGCTACTTCCCCATCCGTTGCCAAATTCTCATCACCTTCTCTCTACCTCGATACCAGCCTTTGAACCTCTGGAGAGGAATGGCTTCGCGAGGACAATCCAAGCAATGGGGTTTCCTCCCTTGTTAGGGACTAGCCTACTCCTCTCTGGCCTAGGATCACACGACCTACACTGGCAACTTTGATCCTACAGAGAGGCAGGGTGGGGGAGGGGTGTCCCCATCAGGCTCAGGGTCTTATTGTCTGCTCTGCTCTGGAATTTAACCTCTAACCTGGGAGCATGACATTCCACTCTCTTTGAGCCTTATTTGGAAAGTGGACTTGTGTTTGTGGGGCTGAAAATGTCTCTTTTAGGAAGGAAAGGGAAAGAATTAATGGTTCTGAATGCCCCCAGGACCTAGACCGGCCCCCTGTCAAGCAGGGGGAGATTTGATAGCCTGAACAGGCTACTATTGATTAATGGTTTCTGTATTCATTTTAAAAACCAGTGCTGTGGGACCCCTGGAGGGAAGAGTGTTGGAAGCCGATATGTGTTGAGGCCAGGCTGCAGGGCAGATCCCCTGAGGAAGGTATTCCTGGGGACACACACTAGTTATGATACCTCAGAGTATGACTAGGGCACTTGAGGTGGTCACCTGCTGTTTCTATCTGACATTCCCAATTCCATGACTTCCCAGGTACCCATGACTTACCCCACCCCCCAACCACCAGTCCCCCCTCTATTATCATTTCCAGCCCTATCTCCCAGCCCTAACTCCAGTCCTGGCCTGCCATAAACCAATTACCTGTCACGTTGTCCAAACATCTGGAGCCCAGCTTCCTGAAGAAGGAACCAAGCCCAATTAGGGATGATTAGAGGAAAGATGGGTGGGCTCTAACATGTCCCAGGAACATGAAGGACCATAAACCTGCCAGCCCAAGCAACTGGAATGGGTAAGCTCTGCCTAGTGCCAAGTAGTTTCTTCCTCTTACTCAGCCCAAGTCCCATTCCCAAGCCAAGAACTCAAGGTTCCAAGTTCAAGTCTTTGCTCTTCCTCTGACTCAGAGATGATATTGGGCAATTTTCCTCTCCCTCTAATTGCAACTTCCTCCTCTATAAAGGGGGGGGGTGGAAGGAAAATGACAGTGATAATCTTGCCCCCATGACTTTCACCAATAAACAGTTACTGGGAACCAGTCTAGGCTTTCACAACTAAGTTTGCTAGGGCCTGGGTGTGACTGCTGGCCCATGGGTATTCAAAGATGAGTCACAGTCCTTGTCCTTAGGCTGTCACTTGTGTGGCCCCTGTTTGTAACAGAGGAGGCAGTGAGAAGTTAAGAGCTCTACCTGAGGTTAAAGTGAAGGAGAAGAAAAAGACAGGACAAAGTGTAGGGACATGAGAAGGGGAAGGAATCCCTTAACCCAGGGTCTGGTTGCAGCCTGTTCCCACTTCAAGAATTCCAACCCAATTGACATTTGCCCTTCCCCCTATGTGTAAACTTGCTGTTTAGGAATCTCACCAGAAACCCCCTTTGTAGAGTGAAAGGATTTTTTTTTTTTTTTTTTTTTTTTTTTTTTTTTTGAGCCACCAAGTGGTTCCTGGTTTTGCCTTATCAGATGTCACCTCTAGAGACTCCTATAATCTCCCTTATCAAAAAGAGAAAGGCCAGGGAAATGACCCAGTGGGCATAAGCACATGCTGGCAAGCCTGAGTTCCATCCATTCCAGGACCCACGTAGTGGAAGGAAAAACCAACTCTTGCAAGTGTCCTCTGACTTCTACTCACACTAAATAAATGCATTTTTAAAAATTAGGAGGGATGGCCGGACGTTGGTGGCACAAAACTTTAGTCCCAGCACTCAGGAGGCAGAGGCAGGGGGATCTCTGTGAGTTTGAAGCCAGTCTACAGAGTGAATTCCAGGACAGTCTCCAAAGCAATAGAGAGAAACCCTGTCTCAAAAAAGCAAAAAAGTAAATAAATTAAAAAAAAAAAAAAAAAAAAAAAAGGAGAGAGAAGGGGGAAAATAAAGTTTTCTCAATAACCCCCTGAGAGCCACCAAATGTAGGCAATGCTAAGATAGTTAATTGTGACTCCCTGGGGATGCTCATGCCCACACTTGGAAATGCCATATTTTTATCCTGAATGTTTCTCTTTCTCTTGACACCCTCTCTCCCCCCATGGTTTAAAGTGATTCTTCTTTGAGAATCCCACAGCCATGCTTTGGGGTGTATTTTTATTCTTCTCTTGGGTGCTTTTTCTTTTTTTTTTTTTTGTATTTTTAGTAAATGCCCAGCTCTGCTTCATACCAGCTATTTGTGAGATTCTTTTTTGTGTCAAAGACTCAAATCCTAGGTTTGCCTGAGTCCAGCTTTTTAAAAGAGTAAGTGAACTTTTCTGGTTGCCTTGTGTGACAATACAGAACTCTGCCTGGGTCCCTATCACCACTGACATCTTTGGAGGATTTGTCGGGGATCTGTCGTGAGTAATGTTGACAAGTTCCACTGACCATTGCTTAGCTGAACTGTTTTAGTTGTGTCTTTTTTTATTTGTTTGTTTTGTTTTTCAAGACGGGGTTTCTCTGTATTGCTTTGGAGCCTGTCCTGGAACTAGTTCTGTAGACCAGGCTGGACTCGAACTCACAGAGATCCACCTGCCTCTGCCTCCCAAGTGCTGGGACTAACGATGTGCGCCACCAATGCCCAGCTTAGTTGTATATTAAATGTTTCCTTGGTTTCTTTGCTTTGTTTCCTGATAATAAATCCATATAGTGTTTTTTTATACTGTTTTTAAGGATTATTTTTATTTGTGCAAATGCATGTGCGTGGGAGGGGTACACACATGGACACATATGTTACACAATATGCATGTGGAGGTCAGTGACAATTTTCTCTCTGGGATCAAATTCAGATCATCAGGCTTAGCAGCAAGAACCTTTACCCACTGAGCCATCTCACTAGCCCCCTTGTAGTGTTTAACAGTGCCACTAGCACCGAAGACAGAAATTCCCTAGAGTCATTCAAACTCAACTGCTGGGCCAGGTAAAACAGTTCACGTTCTTCTGAGAAGACATCAAGATGGAGATTGATCACTTATGTCCTGGGCCTCTCTCTTGCCTTCAGGAGGGCAGCCCAAGATGCCTTGAGATACTTCCATATGCTGGATTCAAATACATTAAGAATGATCATTTCTGTAGCACTGAGAGATGATTTAGCAGACTGCTCTTCCAGGGGACCCAGGTTTGAGTCTTAGCACACATATGATGGCTTACAACACTAGTATCTCTAGTCTTCCAGGGATTTGACTCCTTCTGACCTCAACCAGAACAAGGCATGCTTTCAGTGCTCAGACATCCATGCAGATAAAAACTCCATACTCATAAAATAATAATTATAAAAGAATGGCTACTTCTATAATTTCTTGATTCTGAAATCTTTTGTGTGTAGTATGCATGTGTGTGCAGGGGTGTGTATGTGTGTGTGTGTGTGTGTGTGTGTGTGTGTGTGTGTGTGATGCACATACATGTAGAAGTCAGAGGGCAGCTTTCTGGAACCTTCCACAGTGAGTTCTGGGGATTGAGATATCCTCCTCAGTTTAGTGACTGAACAGACTCAGCAGCTGCCACTTTGTTTTCAGAGATAAAATCTCTATCTGAGATCTGTCACTCACTGAGGGATCAGCACAGGAGTGACAAAAGGCACCATCTTTTTTTTTTTTTTTTTAAATGGGTGCTGTTTCAAACTCCAGATCTGCAAGCTTGTTTGGCAAGTATTTTACCAAGTAAACTATTCCCCCAGCCCTCTTGACCCTGGTCTTAAGGACACTCTGTAGTCTTACCTGCCTTCCAAAGGTGCTTGCTGAGACTCCTTTAGGAGCTGTTTGTTAAGTT